AACCAATTCTCCTTCCTAAGGAATCGTTACAGAAATTGATTTCTCCACATTCACCGATCTCTCACCATTCTCCTCCTCTCGCCTCATACTTTCAGTATTAGGTGAGTTACCAACGGATGAAGTTACCTTCCGGGTGTAATATGGCTCGAGTTCTCGAAAGTGCACATCCATGAAGTTACCTTCCGGGTGTAATATGGCTCGAGTTCTCGAAAGTGCACATCCATGCTCACAAACAACATTTCTCCATCGGGCTCCAGCAAACATATCCCTTTTGAGTAGCAGAATATCCCACAAAGATGCATTTCACCACTATAGGGGCAAGCTTCCCGACGGATGGCATGTTGTCCTTCACAAAGCACACACAGCCAAATACCTTGAGTGGAAGAAGCCCACCATTATCTCCTTTCAACGTCTCACACGGAGACTACCAATCCAGGACTCTCGAGGGCATTCTGTTGATTAGTGATGCTGCGGTCAACACTGCTTGCCCCCATAATATTTCTGGGACATTCATGGAGATCATCATACTTCTAGCAACCTCTAAAAGAAATTTGTTCTTCCTTTTCGTTACCCCATTCTGAGCTGGTGTGTATGGGCATGTAGTCTGGTATTGTATTCCCTGAGCTGACAAGTATTCCCCAAACGCTTTGTTAGTATACTCCGGCCCATTATCAGATCTCAATACCTTCACCACAGCACCGTATTGAGTCTGAGCATACCTATGAAAGTTCTGAAAGCAACCAAACACTTCACTCTTATTTTTCATCAAGTATAACCAAGTAACGCGAGAGAAACAATCAATAAAGGTAACAAAATACTTGTATCCATTCATAGAACTTGTGGAACAAGGCCCCCAAACATCTGAATATATCAGGTCAAATGCACGAGAACTCCTATGACCAGAACTTACATAAGAACTTCTAGTAAGCTTTCCAAACTCACATGCATCACACACAAGGTTCTGCTTATTTGCTTTCTGTAGGTGTAAATTTTGATCTCCCGAAAACAGGGAACTTCGTTTGTATTGATAAGAACAGCTTATTACAAACTAATAATCAAATGTTTACAACAGAAGCGGAGGGAATGCCCTCCTTGTTTAACGTGGGTTCCTCGGTGGCGATAGGACGCCTCGCTCGGTGCTCGTGCCGAGTCTGCTTCCCTTGGACCATCCGATCGAAGTTGCTACCGGAGCTTCAGTTCTCAAATGAGGGAGCCTTTGGCAAAAGTCCGGGTTCAATCTTTGGGAGATTAGCCAGCAGAATATGCAACAGCCAATCCCCCCGCTTCATGCTGGTTGAAGATGGGTTTTAATAGGCAAGGGATGGCATGGGCCATCCCTTGATTCGTGGGATTTGGCCACTAATAGAGGTGAGGGAGCCAACTACCCTAGCTGTGGGATGTGACCACTTAAGGGGTCCTGTCAGCCGCCCTAGCTGTGGGATGTGACCACTTAGGGGGTCCTGTCAGCCGCCCTATTCTTGCTAGGTGAGGAGCGCCATGCTTTCTCCCTTGATTTGTGGGATTTGACCACTGATGTAACTGTTCCCATACTCTAAGTGGGCAGTTGACAGTGAGCTGGCGAGTCTGCAGCTTGGGTCTGCAGGCGAGCTTGGGACTGCAGGCGAGCTTGGGACTGCAGACAGACTTGGGTCTGCAGGCGAGCTTGGGACTACAGGCAGACTTGGGTCTGCAAGCGAGCTTGCAGGCGAGCTGGGTCTGCAGGCGAGCTCGAGTGTGTAGGCGAGCTTGTGACTGCAGGCAAACTTGGGTCTGCAGGCGAGTTTGCAGACGAACTGGGTCTGCAGGCGAGCTTGGGACTGCAGGCGGACTTGGGTCTGCAGGCGAGCTAGCAGGCGAACATAGGCCGTAACTTTCAAACCGTAAGTCGAAATTGGACGAATTATATATGAAAATCGCCTATCTCGACGAGATGGAGCCATCCGAACCGAGCCGAAGGCTTCAGTTCGCTTCCTCCGTTTCGCCAAATTCCTTACGGTTTGGGAGATATCTGCGTTTTCTCCTTTTTGCTATTTCGGGCGAGGTTTTAGCGGTTTTGTTCTGAACTTCTCTGATAAGGATTTAAAGGTAATTTTTATTGCCTACACTTTCTCAAATAGAGATGGATACAACCTACTTAAAACACTAAAGGATGAGTGTCCCAAACGCTGGTGATGAAGCATCAACACACTCTCAGCACTCATCTCAGATCCTACTCCTGCTCTCTCTACCATTGACACCAACGCTGAATCCAGCCCTTCACGATCCAGATACCATAGTCCACTATGCCATGTGCCAGTCCCGAGTCTCCACCTTGTCCCCTTCTCCTGGAAGATCACCTTGGGACTATCAAAAGAAACAATGCATTTTAGTTGGAGGATGATAGCACTAATGGACAAAAGATTGACTGAAAAGGAAGGAGCATGCAAAAAATTAGACAAAGTTACAGAACCTGTACAATCGACTGTACCCTTACCAACCACTGGCTGAAATGTACCATCAGCTATTTGAATACTATCAGGCGATGCTAGGTGAGTATATGATGAGAACTCACTAGCATTACCTGTCACATGTCGAGACGCACCGGAGTCGACTATCCATTCTGATGATCTGTCGGGGGGACATAGAAGTAAGAGCATGTATATCATCAGTACCTTTGGTCGGATGAGCATAGGTAGCAGTGTTGCCTCTGGCGAAGAACGACGTGGATGTCTCCTCTGTCCCACTCCTCCTGTCTCCATCCCCTGCTACTTTCTGCTTCCTCCTGAGTATCGCCAGGAGCGCCTGATCCTCCTCAGTAAAGACCACCTCAGCTTCTTCTTCTCCCTCTGCTACCATCAGATTCGCCTGGTTGTCTGCTCCTCTTCCACCTCGTCGACCCCCACGGCCATGACCACACCCTCTGAACTGTCCACGTCCACGCGAATCTCCTTCCTTTGGTGGCTTGGTGCAAGCATACCTTAGACGACCTACTTCACCGCAGTTGTAGCACTGCCGAGTTTCTCCCCTGGATCCAGTGTTGCTAGAGGCTGCCAGTGCTGACTTCACCACAGGAAGTCCACTTGTCTCCGCCTGCATCCTAATGTGATTCTCCTCCTGGATCATAGCCGAGACAGCCTCATCAAGAGTGGGAATTTTCGGCTGAGCTAACAGCAATGCAATTCGCTGAGCAAACTCTGATGTCAATCCCTTGAGAAACACCATAGTCCTCTCCTGTAGAAAGACCTCCTGCTCTTTACATCCCGGGTCCTTGTAGCTCGCCCGGGGGGAGAAGTGATCATAATCTAGCCACAGGCGCTCCAGCTCTGTAGCATATTCCTATACAGTCCTCTCTCCCTAGACTGTGGCGTTGATCACTCCCTTAATCTGGAACACCCTCAGGTTATTCCCCACTCCATCATAGGTCCTCCTTAACTTCTCCCAGACGTCCTTCACCTTCTCAATGCCGTCCACTGTGGTGGCGATCGACTGGACCAATGAGTTGAGCAGCCAGATGTACACCAACATATGAGTGGACTTTCACTCATCTCGTCCCCCAGAGTCCTCATCCGGTTCTATCTTCTCTCATGTCAAGTAACCCTCCAGGTTCCTCCCTGCAAGGGTGTATCTCACTCGCCGTGACCAACTCAGGTAAGTACTCGGTCTATCAAGCTTCAGATCGATGGTCGGAAGCTCCAACTTCTTCGATGGTCTTGTCGCGCTCTCATCAGCCGACAACTTTATCAACTTCATCAAAGTTGACACCTCCGCAGGGTTCAACTTCTTGATGATCTCCTCCATCGACCAGGCTTCAGATCCAACACCTGTTCACCTGTTTCTTCAAACCCTTGTTGTGCGTAGTGAAAATTTCGACAGCACTTCTGCTACACAACAAAAGTAAGATCTCAACAAAATTCTTGTTTCTCAGAGGAAACAAGAATCGAAAGTGATATATCTCATCTCCGTGAGATATACACTCTTCCTCTCATCAGTTCGGGGACTGAAATGTCGAGAGAATCGAACAAACTCCTCTCATCAGCTCTATGACTAAGATGTTGAGGGTATCCAAGGGGCAACGGGGTTCAACACGTCGTGCACATGAGCTTTTAATTGAAAATAAACGGCCATTAATTTATTGGGAATAAAAATTGTTAGGAAATCATCATACGGCGAAGCCCAATTGCTTTTAAAAAGCCCACGATTCGGTTTTCCGTTCCTCATTGCCTTTCTAATCAAGAGCGAGTGGTCAAGATAAAGGAAGACACGCGGCCAGGATTCTAATATTGTGTGTATATTTCCGAAGAGCTTTGCTACAGGGACCCAAAATATGGGACCAATAAAGGGGACAAGTGAGGTGTCCCCCTCCTATTGGATAATAAGTTGGCCATCATTAATGATGACCAACTCATTATCCAATAGGAGGAGGACACCTCACTTGTCCCTTTTATTGGTCCCATATTTTGGGTCCTTAAAGAATTTTTCTTTGCTATTCTTATGCACCGGCCTGTTGGTCCTTTTTCTTTGGGCAAATTTCAGAAAATACCCCGAACTTTGGGGGGCTGCCCTCGAAGCCCTTGACTTTTTAATTTCCATTAAAAGTCCATAAAATAATCCAATAAACAATGTTCTGCCAAAAAAAGAAGAAAAAAAGGGGGGGGAAGAGAGAGAGAGAGAGAGAGAGAGAGAGAGAGAGAGCGGGGGGCAGCGGAGCACTCATCACATTCAAAATTTTCTGTATCTTTTTCCAACCTCTACTCAAGATGGACTTCTTCCAGTCACATAACCTAAGCTGGATTTCTGTCTGTAATCCATGTGCTCAAATAACAATTGTAGTCAACCAATAGTTTTCAAATTTTCCACCCACAGAAAGGAGCCTAGGTTGCTCATATTCCAAGCCAATTGCATCACGCAACAACACAGTCTCCTTTACTCTCACATCCCCACGTTTTACACCATCCCCACTTTCTCTTGTCACACAACTAAGCAAGAAAGAGAGGTTTTTAAATTCGCACAACTAAACCACATAACAAAAATAAAAGGAAGTCGTTACCTTATAGTAATCGCACGATAAACGATTCGACATCTTTAGAGATACCACTACTCACCAACTCCTGTTTCTTTCATCTCTATTCTTTTGCATTGCAATCAATCATACAACTTGACACATCACATGCTTTCCCACACTTCCAAAGCCCCAACCAAAATTTATATGTCGTGATGAATTTAAGGACTTATTCCTTTCCTCCTCTCTCCACTCTAATTCAAGTAAATATTCACACATAAAAAGAATAACAAAGCCAATGATTGTCCAATAAAATCTATAAAAAAACACATTTGGACTATGTACTCAAAACAACTCCCAATCAGATCTTGGGGGTGCACTGGTGGATGAGGATGAGGAGGTACCGGCGGATGAGGAGGCGGAGGTCGAGGGTCCAAACAAAGAATCAAACATCTCCCACTCTGCTGTAACCACAATTGATGCTTGTTGCTTATTCTGACGCTGATTATGTTGCAATTGTGGCTTAATTGTTGATGTCTTCGCATTCTTGATTTTAAGCAAATCGAGTGTTTCCACGTACTTCTGTATTCTTCTTATCTGAAAACACCATCATCGTCATCATCATCGTCATAAAAAAGAGCAATCATTTGTAACGGCTGAAATAGCGAATTCTAAGAAATCAAACCTGCACTCTTTTCTGTAGCTTTAGGTCCCCTTCAGCAACAATGGCATCTAATTTTACTAATTGTGTCATTAGTTGCTCGATTAGACTTGATAAATCTTCGTCAGCTACCTTCTTCCCTTTAGAGATTGTTGATTCCACATCAGAGACCTATAGTTTCATCCACAATTCAAGAATTTCAGATTCTGTTCATTTCTCGCCTACACAAAATCCATGCAAATAGACTGAAGGAACAACTAGGCAGTCGTCTAGCTTATAGTATATGCTCTGTTTGCCCCTGAATTTGATGAGCATAAGCCCACATTTGTACAAGGTAAATTTTAGAAAGCCGTCATAATTATTAGAGAAATATATCATGATTTTCATATTCAG